AGTCCCCAGTGTCCCAATCTGCGCCTTGTCTTGTAGACAAGTCTGGCCCGGCGGCCCCCGAGAGGCCTCCCCCTCCAGAGAGGATAGCCCCTCTAGGCCCACAATGGCACCCCATAGCAAGAGGAGTCCCTGGAATGCCCGTCGGAGCCAGCATTGGGAGGATGCTGACGCGTTGTGAGTCACCACGTTGCGCCTAACCTGTCCTGAGTCTGACTTGCTCCCAGGTGCTGGCGGCTGAACAGAAGTGAAGCACAAAAAACACTCAACCGTGACGAAGAACTCTCGATCGCACTGGCTTCGTAGCAGCCGGTGGCAGTCCACTGTGCCGTTGAAGGAAAAACTAGTGCTCGAAGAAGACTGCATGAGAATACCAGACAATCCGTGTCCTTCTTGCGGAGGTGTACCAGTTAAAGCGCAAAACCAGAGCGCCAGCAAAACTGCGCAGGAGAGACCTTGAGCTGTACCTGGGTGTCTTGTCGTGTAGCTGAAAAGTCGAAGAGAGGAGCGGAACGAGGCCTCATCTCGAAAGCTTCCTTCAGGATACCCAGGTGCAGAAGATGGCCAACCCATGACTGGGGCCGCCCCTTGAATGGCTTGGTGCGGCAGGTCCTTATGTAAATATAAAAGCATCGGCAGGAGAAAAGCACTGAGGCACAGTCGACGCGCCTTCCGCTAGTTTCGCCAGAAAGAGAGAACTCAATCCGACTCCCTTCACCCCGCGGAGAAGGTGAAAACCACTACCGCTTACCTCTTGCCAAGGTTGTAGAACTGCAAACAGAGGCCCGGGAATTGGGACCCGGTGGATCACAGCGACACGCGGCTCCGGGAGTAGTTATGGCTCAGAAAGAGGACAGTCCCTTAAGCTTCGCAGAAGGGGGCCGTTGCGAGCCTCTAGCGTTGATACCCAGAGCCTTGTTAGCAAAGCTACACAGCCTGCTGTGATCCATAGCGGCTACAACTACAACAACAACAACAACAGCAGCAACAACAACAGCAGCAACAGCAACAGCAACAGCAACAGCAACAGCAACAGCAACAGCAACAGCAACAGCACCAGCAGCAGCAGCAACAACAACAACAACAATGCTGAAACCAAAATGCGAGGAAGCAAAGAAGAGGGGAAGCAAGGCAAGCAAGCAGAAAAGCCAGCTTGGATAGGAATCCTTGAGGCGATCCCGACAAGCCGCAGCGGTGTTGAAGGGAAGGCTTGAGGCTGCACTCGGCAGTTCTCGCAAAGCACATAAGGCAGAAGCGCGCTCTGCTCCACGCACCGGGCCCCGGACGCCGGGTGCTCTGAGCTGCGTCCGCTGCGCCCAGCTCTGTGGCGAGCGGCGACGGGCGCCAGGGCTGTGTGGGCCCGGGCCCCGGCGGCAGTCTGGTCGCAGGACCTCCCGAAGTGAGCCAGCGAACCTGGGAAAGCTTCGACACGGCTCCGCAAAGACGCCGCAGGCAGTCGCTGCCTTCCATCTCGATGGCAGTCGATTTTGGTAGCCATCCTCAACGCTGCACAGTCAGGGGCCATGCAGCCCATGGGGACCAACGAGACAGGTCACCGGCAAAGGAACCACTCCTGCCATGTAGAACTTCTTGTATGGAAGCCAGAAGGAGAAGATGGCAAAGCAGACATGGTAAGCAGGCATAGTGACCAGAGAAGTGTCAACGCAGAGACCGCAGAGTCTGCATCAACATCTTCGCATCTTAGCCGATTCAGAAACTCCTGCAAGAACAAACGCCGACACTTGGATTCCTGTCGAAATCCAGAAAAAACTCACAGCTTCAAAGCCAAGCTATCCCAAAGATGCATTCCTTCTGGAGATCTTCCAGCACGGCGCTCGCCCTTCTAAGGCTTGTCAGAGACCAGGAGAGCCTGCTCTGGCACGGCCCAAACTCCGGAGGGGGACTCTGAAAAGCTGGGCCTGGCCAAATCGCTTGTCCGGAAGTTCTGGAACCCCCCGCCGACATGCTCCAGCACGGCATTCACGAAGCGATCGACTGCAACGTCGGACACAGAGAGGCTTGCAAAACTCCAGACCTCAGCTGGACGTGAAACCGACGCCGCGCCCTCTGCATACTGCCTCCGGTGCTGCGAGGCACCAGTACTGAAAGCTCCACGGGGCGCATTTCTGCGAGAGGCTCTCTCCTGGCCTGCCCAGCAGTCCCGCAGGGAAGTGTGCCAGAAGTCTTTGCCGGCCGCTACACAGCGGCTTATGGCAAAGGCCCCAAGCAGAGGACGACCCGTGCTAGTGAGCTCTGCCACGGCCGACGACTCTTCTTTCCAGGCTCTCATGCCATGATTTTCCGCGACCGCAACGATTGAATCCCCTCCTACAACCCAAAAATCTGCAAGCTGCGGCCTGCTCCACCAGCCGTGCAATCTCCTCACTCCTGGCAACGACAACTCTCATCCGCAGCATGGCTGAAAGCTGGTCTTGTTGCAGGATTTTAATCTTATATATGGATGATAACTATGCATTTTTTCGTCGGGAACCTTTCTGCGAACTCAGACTTGCAGACATGCTAGTCGCAGTCAACACACATGGGCTCCAGCTGGCCACTGAGACCTAATACGGCCGAATTCAGCAAGCAACATCCGCATTTGCGACGTTGCATAAACCCCTAGACTAGACCCCAATCACCAAGGCCTGCATTTGTCAGGTTATCTGCTTGGTGAAGAAACGAATGCGACTTCGCCTTCAAGGCACAGGCCGCCCACCAATTGCCACAATGCCAATGACGACAACAGTTCAGGAGCCCCTTTGCGGTGTCCACCATGTCGTGCTAATAGGATGGCCGGCAGCCAGTCGTGAACGGCAGTTGGAAACAATCTCTCCATCATCAGCAGCACGAGCGAACACCAGGCTTCCAGGCTTGTCGATGGAACTGACGCCTTATTCGCACACCGTGCAGGAGGCTCTTAAGACAGGAACCCCACGCAGGCGTGCAAAGCTCTTGCAATCCGAGGCGCTGAGCCCAGAAGCACAAAGTTGGCGAAACTACTCATCCAAGCTGCGCGCTCCCAGCAGAGGATGAATGCCAGAGTGGCGCTCGACCCAGCGCTACACAGGAGGGCAACCGCCACAATCGCAACCTCAACCGAAGCACCATGAACAAACCTTCCTTCACGTGTTCGACAGGAAAAGTAAGGGAGGCACTGAGCAGGAGCCCGAAGGGAGCCATAAGCCGGCAATGGCAAGACATCCCGACGCTGGGACACCGAAAGCACCAAAAGGCTCCATCTCTTCGCATTGTTGTGAGTCGCGGCTCGAGCAAATGCACAGGCCCACAGACCGCTCAGCCTCTCCACTCGTGCTCTGATGCTCTGCTCACGCTCTGCTCATGCTCTCTGCCATGCTGAGATTTGCTCTCTGCCATCCACGGCCTGGGCCTCGCACCAGGCTGCGCCAACCTGGACAGTGGCAAAACAGACGCTGCACGCGGGGGCTCGAGGTGGGACGCTGGCGCAGCATGCCGCGGTGGCACTCAGCAGGCGCCCAGACGATCTCGTCTTCCAAACCAGCTTCAAACCCTCTATCTTCCGAAGCAAGCCAGCGCCACGGCGATGCCATCTCTAAACCACTCCGAATACAGTGCTTCCTTACTGCTGCGACTTGCTGCGAGTGTTGCAGTGTATCCCCTCCACAGCTGTGCCTCCAAGCAAGCTCGCATAGAGGCGACGAACGCTCTCGTGGTCCAGTTCTGGTCTGATGGGACCTGAAGCACCCGATGCGGCCCGATGCACCCGATGCGGCCCGAGGGCCCTCGCCTCAGCCAGAAGGCCTTTTGCCACTGCCCTGACTGCCCTTTGAATGCACAGCTGGCAGCAGTGCAGATCACCTCAGCCACGGCCGCGCATCCTGGCAAGCCTTCGACTCTCAGCGATGTGCTTTCCAAACTCTTTCCAAGGTGCGGAGTTTGGCTTCACTTGCCTGGCAGCAGATCTGGCTGCAAGCAAGAGGAATGACTAAATGTTGCCGAGGTGCTGCTGCAACATGCTATCCAGCAACTCGACCGCAGCTGGCCAGAGTTTACTTTGTCCCACGGCACCTCTGCTCGGGCTGTACTGGATCCCTCGTTGAAGCTTTGCACTGCTGCACACTGACACTGTTGGATCACAGAAGCAGTATTCTAGCGTCCAGCGGCTGATGGCTGCACTGAAGCTTACCACATCACCAGCCTGAGAACTCAGGAGAGGCAGACGCACAGACGCACTGGGCCCTGCCTGAGGGTGCAGGTGCAGGGCCGCCTGCCACTGGCCCGACTTCTCGCAGGCACTCATTGCAGCGTTGCAGCCTCGCAAATGCGCTTGTACCAATCAGTCGCGAGAAGGGATTGCTTCTCCGCCCTTTAAAGCGTGCCGAGTAGCCGATGATGTCCTCGGAGCAAGACTGGACTGTGGCAAAAGGGAACGGCCGAGCAATCTTATTCTTCTTAGGCCGACACCGGTGCCCGCAACAGCTGAAGCGCTGCTAACCACTGCGCAGCCTGGTGAGGTGGGACCTGGCCTACAAGAGCAAAGATTCACATCTGGGCACCTTTCCGCAAGCCGTCGTCGCTGCATTCAGAGTGATGGGGTTGGGCCTTGTGATGCAGAAATTCACGGACCCCGGCGCGGCTGGTTCCACATGTTTCTCATGCAGCAAAGTAGCTGGACGGCAGCGCTCCTGCAGGCGATCTGCACTGAATTCTCGTGAGCTCAATAAGTTGTGTCATGTGTCCTGCACAGCTGCAAGGCCAAGCGCCATGCAGTGGAGCGGCCACATAAGTCGACCAAGACTCCTCATTGAGACGGAAGGACCCCGCAAAAACACGCAGAAGCCTTCTCTTCCTCCCCGGCCCACCATAGCTTCTCTCGCTCAGCAGTCGGAGCACCATCATCCTGCGCACTCTGTAATGCGGCATCCGATCTGCAGTTGCTGACATGGCCTGCTGAAGAACCGGACTCCGACTTCCCACTTCCGGGCCGAACCGCAAGCCTGCTCGACCCGATATCTCACAGCTTAGAGCTTCGTAAAGTACAGGTAAAGTTCCAAAGGTCGAATCTATGCATAGGTGTATGCGTGCATGTACATTCCCCAGCTGTGACAAGTCACGTTGACTGCAGAATTGAAGGTAATGTGGTTTGGCATGGAAATCCTTGGCTTGCAGTTGCCCACAAAGCACCCCGAAAGATGAGCTGTTCGGCCCATATGCTTCCACGGAGCTTCAGTATCTGCAAGGACGATCGCCATTGCCCGGCTTCCGTGCAAGCATGCATCGCAGCATTCAAGCCTGCAGTGCGAACTGGCACGCCGAGTATGCGATTGGCTCATACAGTATCCAATAACCACCGATATCCCCATATCCAGCTCAACGAAGCTGAGGGGCAGATTTGATCCAGTTGTAGGCTCACTCGTCGCAGCCCACCTCTAAATAAACGCATGCGCAGTCGGCAGCACTTCGTAGCAGAAGCCCCGGCTGGCGTTCGAGTTCCAGGTTTTCTTGAACCATGGCACGCAGCAAATGAAACACCGTCGGCCATTTGGCTGCGGGAGCTGCGGCGGGAGCTGCGGGAGCGGCAGCAGTGCACAAAGCCACCGCTGTGCCGTAGCTCGAGGAAGTCAAAAGAACTGCCTCGGCTCGCGGCTCGAGGCTCGAAGACTCTGAAAGCGTCCGAAGCGTCGCGTCCGCTTTCTCCGTGCCTTGTGTTGCGACTCTCCAAAAATTTCCGCTCCCAGCTGCCATCGCCCAGACTTCCTGAGCTTTCACTGTGTCATGCCGATTCCGTGCTACTGGTAGGCACAGAGCTAGCCATGCGGCGCACAGGCAGAGATGACGGAGTTGTAGTGAAAAGCGTTGGCTTCGAGCCTCCCTGCACCAAAGCAAACACACTTGTGCCACCCGTAGCAAAAGTAGATCATCCCGCCTTCCAGCAAACCTCGGAGTGCACCAAGTGCGACCTGCACAGGCAACGCAGGCATCCGATGTGAATTGTCCAAAGCCTCCCTGGCCCGTGCTCACTTCCACTTCCAGTGCCTCCCCATCCTGAATGGTGCCGAGGAAAGCCGTAGCGGCCCGAGGGGCCGCTCGCTCAGGCTCGAAATCCTGTGCAAGGCAGAAACCCGGTGCCTCCCTAGCCCAAGGCCTGCCAAAGCGCCTCCCAAGCGTCGCTCCTTTGCCTTCGCGCCGAAGCGGCCTGTCGGCGGCTCAGAGCCAGGGCTTCTACACAAACTAGTCAGAGCTTCGCAGACCTGCAAGGGAGACCGCATCCATGCGGTCTCTCAGCCATTGCCAGGTGCGCAGTCTTCCTAAGGGACCCGCACCGTGTGATTGCGATAATACCATGGAGCCCGATCCTGCAGAAACGTGCAGGCATATAGGCATGCATTGATGGGGTAGTCGGTGGGCCTGGGGTCAGCAGACTTGATCTATAAAGACAGCTTCTTTTGCCTTCACTATATCCTTCGTCTGCAAATGTCTGCACCAATCCTGGTGGTGCGAAAAATCGTCTCTCCCTCTGTGAGGTTTGCATAAAAACCCATTCTGCTCGCGTTGGCCTCACACTGGATTTGAGGAAGGCCTCAACTCCTCTTTACCCATTGCACCATCGCTTCTCCACGGCACTGCAGAATCTGCAAGACATCCTATGCTCAAGCCCTCGATCCATCGATCTGTCGCCATGATACAGAGTTCTGAGAAGCCTTCCCAGAGTTTGACACCGTCCATATACCCAGACGCACAGTGTCTTGTTGCTTGGGCTCACTTCCCCCTGAAAAATGGGGCCCTTTGTACTGCAGTTTCGTCTTCGGCACTTCTTCTCAAGGACATGAAGAAGTAGAGCGTCTCCTGCGAGATTCGGCCTTGCAAGAATCACTACTGGCAATATGCTTAAACGCGTGGGGGGGAAACACTCATCACGACAAGAAGGCTTTTTCGAAAGTGTCAGACTCGTCTTGTGCAGAGGAGTTCATTGTTTGCCACAAGTTGAAGAACAGTTCAAAGCCGGCTTTGGAAAACTCGTAATCGAGGTAGGTTTGCCATTTGGCTGGCAGTCAGACGAAGCAACTGCTTCAACAACACCACCAGGACGGGGACCACGACGAGCAGCACGACGAGCAAGATCATCAGGGTTGTTGCAGAGCCACGCAGCTGTCAGTCAATTGCCACGGCAACGTCTGCCGAGCTTTTCGACCAACTGCTGCACCTGCCCCTTCCCAGAGGGTTCCTTCGGGATGAAACGCTCGAGCACATCCCAAACATGTTCGTTTGCGCAAAAGGAGTCAGGCCAGAGACTACTAACCCAAGCAGTTTGCTTTATGTATTGCCAAATCGAAAGAGAAGAAGCTTTCAAATGATGCTTCACGACTCCACATCAGTCAAAGAACGCTACGGAAGTTGTTGGAGGGGCAGCGGCCGTTTTGGGCAGGTACGCCAGTGTAAGAGGCAGCCACGGAGCAGGATGCACGGCTAGAAAGAGTTCGGTAGGCTACATGCGCAGAATGAGCCATGTATGGGTCGCAAGCAACCGGATGTAATCATCCCCTCCCCCTCCCCCTCCCAACCCACTCCAACGAAAAGGCAGGAAAGTGTATCTTGCAGCCAGGGATAGGATGCATGATGATGCATGACTACTAGTTTGGGAAGCTAGCAATGTGTCGTTCGTAAGAAGCCGGACGTACTCCTCCCACCCTAACGTGGAAGGAGAGAAATCTTTTCGGAGGCCTGAAAAACGCCTGTCGGCACGGTAAGGGCGCCGTCACCAAAAACATGGAGACGAGACAAGACAACGTGCAGCCATGGACAGCCGTGGCCTGCAAGTTGCCCGGCCATCTGCATCTGACTGCTCTTCCACAGAGCTTCCGTCGTCATGCTAAGGCCTCCCAAAGCTGCGACGAAGAAGAACTCGCCGACTGGACGAAGGACTGCTGGATTCTTGCAGCTGTGGCACTCGGCAAATTCGGAGCGATGCGTCTTTCAGACATCTGCTGCAAAATATCCAACGTCGCCCGCCACTGGCAACTTTCCTCCTGACGCTGCGAAGGCTGTGTTCCCTTTCAATTGCCAATGCTTCGAAACGCTAGGCCAGTCAAGTCAGACAATCATACCTCTATGTTGCTTGCACTCCCAAATACTCCACAGCATGTATGAGACAAGCCCAACCCATCGCAACCAGGGGTCACATGCACATATGGCACCAGTGTACGCGATGAGATTAGGCGTCGTCCTTATTTGAGCCAACGCAATCAACGGGGAAGCAGCCTCCTACAGCCAAACACGAAGCGGAGCCGCCCAAACAAAAAAAACAAACGGCGCTGCGCTGCTCAAAAGGGAACCTCGAATTCTGCCTTTTCGGCCCGGGCTCCAGGTGGAAAAGAACCGAAGCAACTCGAGAGCTGGAGCCCATTGAGTCGCCTCCAAACTTCGAAACAAAACAAATCCTACAGTGCCTTTCCGCTCGTCTCCGTAAAACTCCTTCCCATCTCATGGACTTTCACCCTCCGAAACCGCTTATTTACACCCCTGCAATCCCTTGCACCACCTTGGTGCACACGTTGATCACGCAGCTGTAAGTGATGTCGTTCGCGAAGATCTGCAAAAAACAAACAACACACCAACTTCCTGCAATCAAGCCGTACCTCAGGGTGCCTTCTGTTGTAGCATCTCCTCCAACATTTGCACGGCGAGGGCCCAGTGCGTCAGGCCACTGATGATGGCCTGGTGACATAGCGACACAATATGCTATAACGCTGCATGACGAGAACTTCCATCTAGTTCGCAGACATTGTATGACTTTGCCGAGGGGCACTGAAGGTAATCTCGCTGAGAGACATTCCTCGCTCCTTCATGCCTGGCACTGGCATGTTCTGCTCTGCTAAGGCCGCGAGTTCATGGCCGACATGGGAGCCGAGGTGCTCTGCAAGAGGTCCAAGGTCAAGTGCCACTGGTGAGGGTCTGCTGCGCAGGCGCTGATTGCCGCATTGAAGCCTGGGCTTCAGTCCGAGTCCGAACAGCTGGCTTTTCCAGTATCTTGCCGCCCAGATGCAGACGCTGTCTGGTTCTGCCTCTGCTGCTCTGCTGCTCAGGGGCGCATTCGAAGAGAAAGGAAAAGCATGTATAACATATAAGAAGAAAAGAACTTTTAAGGAACAGAAGGTCCCCGACGCTTCTTTTTCTCAGCAAGATGCGATGGACCTTAGAAGCACCAGGCCTAAAGGCCATTGATTGGCCTTGCCACATGCGGTAATCGCTGTGCTCAGGCAGACCGGATCCGCCATGGCAGCCGGGAAGGAGCTCAGCAGGCTCAACACCAGCTCCCACTCGCCTATGCCACGAAAGTTGGCGAGAAAGGCGGGCAAAGATGTGCAAAGATCCGTGCAACTGCAACATCTCAACCTCGCTGCCTGCACGCTCGCAGGCGCTCATTGCCGTGCTGAAGCTGACCACGGATGCCTGAGCCTCGTTTGGATTGTAGAAATTATGCAGCGGATTGGGGTTTGGAGCAGCTTTGGGCCTTGAAGGACGGCATGCCGAAGAGTAGAAGCAATGCCATCTGCCATCGCGCCCCACAAGCGCCCATGGCGGCATTGATGCTGACGGCCCCAGGCGCAACTCGCTTTTCCTTGTCCAAAACAAGACATCTTGCACTTACTACTTCGATACTTTCGATGTTGCCCAAACCTCCGAAAACAATGCTTTTGGAAGCCGCGTGTCTGGCATAGCACTCAGCAGCACCATTGCCATCTCCCACTGAGCACCTTTTGGGGATCTAAATCTGGCACACATGAGCGACGGGTCTTTTTGGGAAATAATTGAATGAAGCATGATGAGCTTGTGAAGCTTGGTGTTCTCAGCTGCATTCGTTGCTGCATTCTGTCGTCGAAGTCTTTGAGATTCAGGGCCTGCAAGCCTTGGAGAAAAAGTCCCTCGCTGGTACTTTAAGAACGCTGGGACACTGAAGTGCACTTTCAGGCTGCACTATCTAGCCGTATCCGGAGAAGGCTTCGGCCAGCCCTGATAAGTCCAACGAGGGGAGTTTTGCGTTTGCGCAGTGATGCAGTGCCTGGTATTTCGCCGAGGCCGGGGGCCGGGGGCGTCTTCAAGTGTCGGTTAGGTCCATCCATGAAAACAATGGTAACCTCCGCTTGCGACTTCGACTTTTTGGTTCTGCTTTGAGGGCTGCGGTAGCAGGACCTGTCACATTTACAGTTTTGTCGCGGGTCCGCCCAGACTCGCCCTGGCGGTTAAACTGGAGCTAGTAGCCTCTGAGGCGGCTAGACGGTTAAAGGGTCGCATAGACTAGTGACTAGCAAGGAGGAGCCGCACCTTTCTCGCAAGCACTGATCGCTGCATTGAACGTTATCTCGTCGGGATGGCGATTTCTGTGCACCATGGTGTCAAGCATGGTCAGGGCTGTCTGCCACTGTCCACACTTCTCGCAAGCACTGATGCAAGAGTTCCAGCTGATGTCATCCGGTATCACTGACAAGAGATCCATCCACTCGAGGAGCTGCAAGGCCTTCTGCCATTGTTCCCCCTTTTCCGTGGCGCTCAAGGCTGCATTGAAGGTCGCAACTGGGGCCGCTTTCTCGCCACAAGCCTTGACCAGCAATACCAGCGCCTTCTGCCACTGCTCGGCCCGTGCTACTGCAGCTATGCACGCGCCATATGTGAGGGCATTTGGCGCAACAGAAAATCCGCCCATGTCCTGCAAGAGTTGCAGTGAGAGCTGCCAAGTCTGGCGGACCTGCCCAAACACGCTGATCATTGAAGTAAAGCTGATGACGTCAGCTTGCAGCCCAACACGGCCGGCTTCCTCGAAAAGGCGCAGGGCCACTTCCCACATGGCTCTCATTTGGCAAGAGCTGATGCAAGCGTTGTAAGTGATGAGACCCGGCAAACGGCCATTTGATCGCATCTGGTCCAACAGACTGAGCGCCACCTCCCACTCCCCAGCCTTGATCATAGGGAAGGTCTCTAGTCTCTTGGGATTAACACCACGCAGAACAAATGAGATGCGGCTCCTCTGGGTGCAGTAGGTACGATTCTCAATCCAGGGGTTGATGTCAGCATTTAACCAGTGTGCGGTGAAGCCCGCGCTGCTGTCAAGCGACAAGCTTCGGACCAAGTGTGCCCAAGTTGCTGTGACTGTGTTCCAGGTCTCATCCTCGTTAGCTTGCTTGCTTGACGTCAATAATAAGCTCAAATCTTCCGAGGCCAGGCCCAGGCGTCTAGGGAGTCAGCGACTCTCCACCCAAGCCTCCTCCAATTTTTGCGTTCATTTTCCACCCCGCACCCGACCACCTTTCATTCCTGCGCTTCCGGCCCCCTGCCCTCCCACCCGGTGAGATGTGACCCGGACATTTGTTCCCTCGCTAGGCGTACAGGAACACAGCCTCGCAGGAGTCTCTTTTTGCGACAGGCGCACAGCTGTAGATCGTGCTCCGCTAGAACCTTGAGCAACAAGCATGGATACATGCAATCGTGAAACAGACAGGCATCTGGATTTGTAACATTCAGTGTTTCAACCAGGCACACCCGCCCGCTGCCTTTTTGGTCTCAGGATTTCAGTTCATCCCTCTCATCCGTCCACCTGTGAATTGGTTCGCGTGAACCTCGATCAGGAGAGGAGTATGAGCGTCGAGATCTCTGTCGCCCAAAAGGGTATGATGAGCTCGTAGAGTTGAGGAGCCATTCTGAGACACTGACCTGGTACTCCGGTTCGACGGAAATTCGGCCCATTGGTCGTCAGACATACTGTGCCCCCACTCCAAACAGTGGCCATCAACGGATCAAGCCCTGGAAATGTATTCCAGTCTGGCTGCGTGCATTCCCAGTACGGTTTGCCTCCAACTTGGTCCTCATATTGCTTGAAGAGACACACACTGTTGGCGGAGACGTGTTGTACAGTGTTGTACCTTTGGAGCGCATAGATGAGGGCACGCCGAGGAGGCTCCGGTACGTGCCACCACGAATGTCCATGCTTTCCTGCTCGCGTCCATTACAGGGCCATGCTGGGGTCACCACCGATCAGATCAGCAGTCGGCCAACAGCGTGCCAAGGCATTCATGTGCCATCGCAACCTTCGCTGTCGCAACGGTGTCCTTGAGGTGGAACATGCAAACGCGGATGCGATCAGAGACGGTTCTCCCCAGAGTTCGAGTCATAGATGAATTTGGGAAGTCGCCCCGATTTCCTTGACGCCGTTCGTAGATAGGCACCAATGCACATAGCTGCTCGAAGAGATCATCGTCTGGAGGATGATACTTCAGGCCCAACATGTGGAGGAACTTCCACACGCTGGATCCTCAAAGCACTGATGGGATTAACGGATGCCGCTGTGACACAGACCACGGTAACCATAGCCACGCTGCATCCTCACAGGGCTTGTCCTTTCAAGCTTGACTAGGTTGGCACAGAAGTTCTTGTACTCATCGGTGTCCACGAGGCCAGTTCTCCTTGGTGCCCTCGAGGTTGTTCTCGTTCTGGGCCTCGGCATCCTTTGCGGCCTTGGACGACTCCGGATCAACGATGTTCTTGCATTTTCCCCAGATGCCTTGATCACGCAGCGTAATTCACTTTCGTCATCCTTGCTGGCAGAAATGTCAGGCATGGATTCCTCACCCTGAGGTGAGCCTTCCGATGCCATGTCCGCGTCGTTGGTGTCCTCCGTGACAACCATGTGTTCATCCTTGGATTCCGATACCTTCCCTGAGGAGAGCCTTCGGCGGGTTTGACCTTCACTTCAGATGCCTCTCTTTGGGAGAGCTTTCCGGAGCTTCAGTCTCCATTGGAACATCGGGCGCTTCGGTCTTAGCTGAGCCAGCCATCTCACCCTGAGGTAAGTCCGCTGACTCTGCTCTGACCTCGCAGGTGTCATCAAAGTGTGGCTCGACGACTTCCTGCACCTGTAACACAAAGAGCTTCTCGAGGAACTCCCCAACAGCTATGTCCTCACACGGACGGGTGTAGAGCTCCTCCAACTCAGCCTCGCGTCGGACTTCGCCATCGTCGCAAAACGCGATTTGAAGTCCTTGTTCTCGGTGCTTTCCAGAGTTGTCTCCAAACAGGTGAGGATGTACGGCGTGTTGAACGGCTGTCGGAGCGTGGAGTCATAAAGACCATACCCCTCTGGCGTCTTCACCATGTACTTCCGTCTGACCTCTTCATTCCGAGCGTTTCTCTGAATGTAGCTGAAGAAGTCAGGCCTGTGCGCCTCAGCGATGACCGTGATGAGCAGCGAGAAGTCGTCCCTGACATGCTGGATCTCTCGGTACACATCCCTTTCCTTGAGGAATGCACTGTATGCCTCCAGCATAGAACGTGTAGCTGCCATACTTGATGACCGTTCCAGGTCCAGGCGACACCTCACCACCCGCACAAACGAAGTGAATGGCCACTTTGGCCTCCAAGACCAGGCCGCGCCGCTTGATAGACTCGTAATTCGAGTTGTCAGGCCCTCGACACTGAGGCAGCCCAAGAAGCAACAGAGGAACTCATACTTCCAGAGAAGGTTCCTTTCAAAAGGTGTGCCCCGGGTGGTTCTCCTCATAAAGCCGGACATGTGACAGAAATGACAGCTGTCCTTCCAGGAGCTTTGTTACGCCTGTCTCCCCATGTGGTGGGAAGTATGCCGTAACGTCCCGGTGTCCAGGATGTTTAGGGACATTCTCAGGCTTGAGCTTGAGGGAAGCCACCGAAGCATCTCGAGGAAAGATGCGGGGACCCGCTTGCGTCTAAATAACACGCCGCCATCTCCAACTGATCGGAGTCTACGGCATGGCTCCCAGGACGCGCTCTTCAGATACGTGCTGTACTCCGGAACACCAGTTGTAAGGTCGATACGGATGTTGCAACCCATGTTCGGTGTCCAGTAGACCTGCACTGCTGGTGCCTCCTCATCGAGGCGGGCCCTCCCGCAGCCACGCTGGTCACAGAAGTGGAAGTTGCGGGCTACCTTCTCACTAAAGTGTTGATCCAGCTGATTTGAACAACGCAGGCACAAACTTAAGAAGAGACCAACAACTCTTCAGGAAATGTACACACAGTGATAGCTCACACATGAAGCAGCACATGACTCACGAACGCTCCTGCATGAACATGACATGTTGCACTGACCCTAAGACCGCGCACTCCTTCCGGAGCCAGGCATTCAAGAGGCTATGCGCTCAATCATAGAACGAAATGGAGGATGTGAAGCCATTTCCTTCAACCACCCGGTTTGAACAGAGTTCAGGAGGTTTCTAGGATTTGCGCTACGTTTCGTGAGACAGTCAGACAAACACTGTTCGGTTCGAAGATGAGAAAGCTCAGCAATAGCCCCTGAGCAAGCTTGCTTCCTGAACAGTTGTATCATGTGAATGGTTTCCTGCTGTTCGGGTGAGTGAGTAGTAGAAGCAGTAGAAACGAGATTGTTGTCGTCTGTTCGCGTGTGAATCTCAGCATCCAAACCGCTAATGCCTTGGCAGGCTCCAAGGCACAAGCGCAAGCCTCAGCGACGGTGGTGCTAAGGGTCGTTCTTTTGATCGTAGTAGATTCGAAGAAGACCAGAGAGCCTCGGGCGTCTCTTCGATTCTGGACCCTCTCATCAGCAATGAAGCAATGAAGATAGTCATCGCTCTCGGAAAAGCTGCGTCAGCAATCCCTAGAATCAAGGGAAAACCCTTCACTTGCCACACCCGCAACTCAACCTCTTCACCGCGGATCTGTCGACACAACTTGTTCAATTCCTTACCGTGACCAACGGTTGGAGCAGCAGAGGCTGAGGCAAAGCGAGAGAACCGATAGCATGCCTGAATTTGCGTTCTTGACTGGAGCCAGTTGACGCTACCAAGCAATGCATAGGAGGTATGGAGAGCCTTGTCATACGCGTCAGTATCCTTCAGATGTCTCGATATGACAATCTCTTCCAACTCAGAAGCACACAGCTGTTGATCGATCGAGATGTACTTCTTCCATCGAACCCGCTGTCCCATGAGCTTCAGGTCGTTCTTGTCGGCGGACAGTGAAGTGTTCCTTTATCTTGTTAAGGAACCTAGCGAGGAACTCAGGGGTTCCACTTATGATGAGATCATCAACCTGAAGACTCATCACCCCAACTGTCTTCCGGCCTCTGCTCGGACTTGGAGGCGTTGCCACGGAGGTGCTACAAACACGACGCCTTCGACAATGCGGTCGTGCTTGTCATAGATCTCTCCTGGCAGCCCAGGCCTGCTGGTCCTTCGTCGACACTGAGCTAAACTTGCGGTAGTGCTTCACATGCATCTTGCAAAACTCAACATCATTGTTCAGTTTTTCCAACCTGCGCTGCCTCTTGGCCAGGCAATGGAAGCGCAATCCTCCTAGGTTCTAGTTCGGAGGAACCGAATCAGATTCCTCGGGCTCAGGAGCCACAGGAGGCGCCGCAACTTTGGGCGCCGGTCCCTGTGGACCGCCTCCCTTGACGTGAACTCTCCTTTTCACCGGTTCAATTCCTGGTGGAAAGCTTCCGGTGACTCCCGGTTTCTCTGAGCTGTCTTCAGGCTTGCCTTTGCTAATCATGTCCTCTGGTGACCCTACCTTGCCACGGGCAGGATCGATGGTCTTTAGCTGGCACCGAGGTTCTACACTCGATACCTCCAGGCAAAGTCTTGAGGATTGTCCTACCCTTCCAAGAATCAGTACCCTTTGTGGTGGGACGCTCAGAAGAACGCTCTTGCCCTTGGAGAACTCCATGATCGTCTTGCGCTTGTTGTCCAGGTACTCCAACAGAATGGGCACATATATCCATCCTCGGGTTCGTAATTACTTCGACTTCGTCTTGTGGATACGAATCATCTCGATGTCGGCTTCGTTGATCAACCATTCATCATCCATCGCCAAAACGACGTTCTTGTCTTCCTCTTCCTATGAAGAGCTTCCCAGGGTCTTCTGATGAAA